TCCCTCCGGCAGGAGCAGCTCTACTGCGAGGATCCCTCCGGCAGGAGGAGCTCTGCTACGAGGATCCCTCCGGCAGGAGCAGCTCTACTGCGAGGACCTTCCAGACAGAGCACTTCTACTGAGAGAATGCCTCAGACGGGAGCAGCTCCCCCGCGGGGATCTTCCAGACGGGAGCACTTCTACTGAGAAAATGCGTCAGACAGGAGCAGCTCCCCTGCGGGGATCCTTCCGACTGCCCGATGCGGAAGGTCAGACCTCAGGCATCGAAATATTCGCGGGCAACACCTCTGAACAGATGCTGTCAGGATAGGCATTTCAGTGATATTCCAGTAGGACGCACTCCTGAAGCAGAGACCCTGGCAATGGTGCTGGATGGAGATTTAAGTGAGGAGGTCCCAACATGCAAATATCTGGGGAGGGGATCCTGACAGGACGAAAGTCTGAATCACAGAACCTCGACATGGTGGTCATTGAATGGGAATCTCGATGGACATCTGATTATGGGTGGACGGACATCAGAATAATGTTATCCTGACAGAAAAGATACCTGATCAGGGGATACTGAGAAGTCGTACGTTGAAATAAAAGAATCCCAGCTAGCATACAGATGGGGCGGGGTGTGTGAATGCTGGCGGGACGACACCCGGGCGTGAGGAGCGCGGCAGGACAGCTCACGCCGACGCCGACCGCGACCCGACGACCTCTGACTACGGCACGCCGCCGGGTCGGGCGGCGACCGGCCGGCTTCCCACAGGAGCGGCCGGCCCCGGCTGGCCGGAGTGGGCCGCTGACACACATCCGGCGCCGCCAGCCGATCTCTCCGGCCGTGGAGGTCCGCCGCCGCCACCGCCGCCGGCGCCGGTGAGACAATCGCACCCGGCCGCCGCGCCGGCGGTCCGCGGCCGCCGCCACCGGCCGGCCCCTGGTGGCGGCCGGAGCAGAGCGGCGCGCCGGTCGGGTGACCCCCGCTCCCAGCGCCGCTCGGTGGGACGCCCCGGCAGACGGAGGAGCGCGCTCCGGACGGACCGACCCGCCGTGACGCTGCGGCCGGGCCAATCAAGGTCAACAGCCGACCGGCCGTCACGCCGCTTGCCGCTGCCAGCTGCAGTGATTACAGCCATCGGCTGTTGGGCGACGGGGGTGTCGCAATATATGCAAATTGTTGACAAAGCTCTGTTGCACTTTGTACTGAACGCTCTGTGGTGGCTTCAGAGTTTGGTCTTCCACTCGATCCACGGTCTGTGGTGGCTTCAGAGTTTGGTCTTCCACCCGATCCACGGTCTGTTATGGCTTCAGAGTTTGGTCTTCTACTCGATCCACGGTCTGTGGTGGCTTCAGAGTTAAGTCTTCCACCCGATCCACGGTCTGTTATGGCTTCAGAGTTTGGTCTTTCACTCGACCCACGGTCGGCAAAATCCCCCATACCTCAGTCATCAGCTGAGTGCGTTGGCTGAACCTACTGAGGCTCTCCTTTGATCCTGTAATTAGCATGCCCTCACCCCGATTCCAAAAAGCACATTCTTTCAGATCCACATGGCTCATCGATAAAACTTGCGCAGTCGAGGCTTCGCAATGAAAAGAGTGAAGCACGCACCCAACCTGATCAGCCAGATGTTTGCCGCAGTCACGCTACATGTGTAATAGGCAAGAGCGGAGCCTCAGGTGCACGTCAGCTGTTCAGAACATGGCAGGTGTGGCCGGTGGGGCAATGAAGTCAATGGAGCTTGGTTGGCGAGTGTCACTGAAGAGTGTTGCTTCATCTAATCTAGTGCCGTTGACATGATCCTGCTACCTTTACTTCTCAGATATGGACTCGATGAAAGTTATGGGGCCGAGCTGTTCTGTCAACCAGTTGGGAGATCGCACCGGGTTGTTAGCCCGATACCTGTTGATGAAGCAAGCCAGTCCACGGCTTGAACTATTGACTTGACCGTGTGACCTGGCGTATGCTGCTGGGCAGTCCGTGGGAACACCTTTAGCGGGCCCCGCCTCCTGCCACGTGACAATGGCTCCTCACGAACGAAACACGCTGGACTTCTGTTCACCGTCTGGTTGACACCTGGCAGAAGAACCGGTATCAGTCACACCTGCGCCGCTTTTTGCACTGCGCATCGGGACGGCGCAAAGAAGTCAGGCTCTGAGCATCAGGTGGTACGGGCGGTGACGGACGGCCGGACCGGCCCTCCGAACTACCGGGCCGCCTCTCTGAGCTGCCGGGCCGCCCCTCTGAGCTGCCGGGCCATCCCTCTGAGCTGCTGGGCTGCCCCCTGAGCTGCCCGGCCACCCCTCTGAGATGCTTGGCCCACCCTCTGAGCTGCCGGGCCGCCCCTCTGAGCTGCCCGGCCACCCCTCTGAGCTGCTTGGCCAACCCTCTGAGCTGCTGGGCCGCCCCTCTGAGCTGCCCGGCCGCCCCTCTGAGCGCGTCTCAGCCTGACCGGATAATGCGCCCGTCGTCGAGACGGTGTGAGGCGGCAGCCGTGCGCAGCCGGAATGTCGAGAGAGGCCGGGAATGTGTGGAGAGGTCGGGAGGGAGAGAGGCCAAAGACAGCAGCGAAGAGAGGTCGGGAGGGAGCGGTGTAGAGAGGCCGGAAGGAGCGGTGTAGAGAGGCCGGAGTGGGTGATGGCGGGAGGCCGGGAGGGAGCGGTGAGGAGAGGACGGAAGGAGCGGTGAAGAGGGGCCGGAAGGGAGCGATGAAGAGAGGCCGGAAGAAGCAGTGGCGATCACCAGCATCCGCCGGTGCCCGCCGCCAGTGCCCGCTCCGATCGGTTTTCGTGAGCGGCCGTCCGGTGATGGGCAGACGTCTGGAACGGCCGGCGCCGGCTGCTGCCTTCGACGAGAGGGCGGCGGGCGGAGCGGGCCGCGCCGGACGGGACACGGCGCGGTCCGCCGAGACCGCCGAGACGGCAGCCTGGCTCCAGAAATGCCCATGGGAATAAGACCACCGCCCGATACGGAAAAGCAAGTCCATGTGCGTGTGACTGTACAATAACAGCTCTGTGAACACCACATACATCTGGAAAAACTGGGGCGTTTGAAGAGGCCGGGCCGGGATTAGGGTTGGCTGGTTTCCCGACCAGGTGTCCCAGTACACAGACCGGCGGCGGTGCTGGCCTGCCGTACGCGGCGCCCACTAGCCTAGCCGCCGAGCGCGGTCTGTCGCTGTCCGTCCCAGCTGGACCCGCGCCGTTCCGGCCGGCGGTGGCGGCCTTCCAAGGCTGGCAGCACCCTCAGTCAGCGGCGACCGCTTCCTGCGCGTGGCCACGGCCCAGCGGCCGGCGCTCTCACGCGCCGCTTGCGCCAGCCGCTAATTGGGTCAATTTGGCGTGATGAGGCGCGATCAGCGGCCAGCGCGCCGCACATCCTCGCCAGTGGCGCTTGCGACAGCGCTGACCGCCGCCTGTTTGTCAACAGAGAGACGCGCGGCCGCCGAACCGGACACTTACCCAACGTCGGAGGGAGCCGGCGGCCGGCGGCGCCGGTACCGTCACGGCTGGGCGGAGCCGCCCGGAGCCGACGGAGCCGACGGAGCCGCACCAGGCGTGATGACACCACCCGTGCGGCAAGCGGCCGGGGTGCCGGCCTGACGAAAGGCGCGCTGGAGGAGCACTCACCCAGGCAGGCCACCATGCCTCACAGGAACAGCTTACGGTTGCACACTCTTCGTACTGGGAGAGGCAGGTGGCCAGTTGAGGCTACTTTTTTGCGTTTTCTCGGCCCTTATCAAACGTCAGCGTCTAGCACGAGTAGTCTTGTTAATCCCCTAGTAAAACGCGCTTCACGCTAGATACACATTCGGCAGCTGACTCATGAGTACATGACATTCGGCAGCTGGCTCATGAGTCCATGACCACAGTCAATCACGAACGCGAGTTGGCAATGCATTTCGGGTGTAATTAGTCACGCAGGCCTGGCGTCGCACGCGACAGCAGAACAGGTCGTTCAGCTGATGACAGTCCAGATTAGGCTGCACTGCACTCCTGGCTCCATCGCCGCATGCAAGTCTGCTGCTCGAATATCGCTCGAGCCATATCACGGCCCTTCATATTTCAAGAGCCATGGTAGAGACAAAACGCTACAAAACATTCCATAGCAAACTGTGTGTGTAGCACCATGGCTAAGTAAATTGCGGCATGTTCAAGTGATTAAGCGACTGGTTGGGATGCTGTACCGGCGGAACAGAACATGCTACAGCCGTAGCAGCCCCAGCTACTACAGCACCGGCGAACGTGCATCACCGACCAGCACCGGATGCGGGTATCTCCCTCAGATCGGGATAGCCTTACACGCCCGTAACGCGGCCATTCGCCACACCCCTCACAGAGTCACGGCCATTTGAGCTCAGTCACGTAATCCACTGCACGGCTCTGTGCAGCGCTACCAGAGTCTCTCCACAGCTGTGGCGTGGGGCAGCCCTACGGCAGGCACCAGACAGGCACCTTAGTAGACTAGGTGTGCAGCCATGAGCAGACACCACGGAAGAGCTCATCCCTGGCACGCTCCAACCTGAGGCATCGCCCCCCCCCCCCCCCCCCGTCCCGGTGAGCTGAGCACGCCTCTGCCGTCCGTCCGGAGCAGGTACGGACGCGGACGTGTCCTGTACAGCGGCGGCGGTCAAGCCAGACAGGCCCAACGATCGGGGTCAGGCTGCTGCCGCCCCAGCTGGCTGAGCTGCCGCCGCCCCAGCTGTCAGAGCTGCCGCCGCTCCAGCTCGCCGGCCCGGCATGCGCCGTTGTGTTTGGTCGCCGGTCCTGCCCCGCTCACCGGCCCTGTTTGCAGACGTCCTCTGATAGATGTTGGAAGAAAGCCCACTCGCCGCCGCTGCGGGCTCAGGTTTGGATTTAGGACAGCCCACCGCCCTTCCGCGACCGAGCAAGCCGGCTGCTGGTGACTGGTGATCGATGACGTTGTATCCGCTCACGTCTCTGTCGGCCTCATCTGCTCCGACACGGTGGATGTCCGTGTTTTCCTGCTCGCCGGAGAGGTCCAAAAACGAGGCATGTGTGCGGACGTCACATTTATTACCAGATGGGTGATCAAGAGCCAGCGGCGAAAGCTGCACAGGTCGGAGTATGCAACCATACGTCACAAAGCGTTTACATGCAACGGTGAAATACGGTGTTTTCCGTTCTCCGAAAGCAACTACGTCACCACATGCTATGATGCTGAGATTGGTGGCGTTCAAAGCAGCCACACGGAAGTCAAGTCCAGGTATCGCCGGCCAATCTCCAGGGGCTGGCCACCACGGCTTCGCACCGGCCGGCGCGGCTATCATATCGCATCATTCGATCAGACGGAATTTTAACCAACGAAAGCTGTCCCAGGCTTACAAGGCTACGCCACTCTCCAACGCGAGCGATGCAGTGCCGGCTCAAAACAAAGCCAACGCGACAGACGAAATCGATAAGCACTTAGCGAGACGCCTAAGCCAGCCGGATTTGCGTATGGAAAGCATACACGCAGACTTGTGGCGACGGCTGCTCTTACCGGCATCACAGTTTATTACGGTTCGGTTTTGAAATACTTCGAGCGATTATCGGAAGTGCGCTAACCCCGTCACTGCGTTCCAAAAACTCAGACATCACATGGTTCCCAACACATGCAGCTGCTGATGCAACGCATGACAAAAACCTGCACGATTCGCGGAACGTTAGGAGGGTTATTTCCTACATTCATCTGTCAGCTGACAAAGATCATTTGTACCCAAGCGATAAACACTGGACTCGCGGCCTTCGCAGTTTATTTCAGCTCGTGGTCATTTCCTGCTGCAGCATCTCTACGCCACGGCTCTTTAGAGCCGTACGGAACGCTTCAGGAGGCTGGGAGAATCCCGCACGTGAGCACGCGATAAACACTGACTTGTTATGACATGAGATGATGCGGACTAACCGGTGCTCAGTCGCGCCCAGCAAACTGAGTGGCGGCCGCCAGTGGCCGGGCCGACCGCGCCCTGCCGCCGCCCGACGCGCTAAGCTCAGCTCGTGCAGCGGCGCCAGCCCCGCCCCGGCGCCAGCGGCACGACTCTGGCCAGTCCGTCCAGCGCCCCCGGAGCGGGGCGATGAGCCGGTCCCTGCACGGAGCCGGCTCTCGGTGGGCGGCGTCTGGCCGGCCCCGCCCCGGCGCCAGTGGCTCCATCGCCGCCGCCAACGGAGCCATGCAGGCGGTATCCTCTTGCCGCCGACACCACTAGCGGACTTTCTCGGTGCGGCGGCGGCGGCGGCGGCGTCCGAGGCAAGGATGTGTGCCGGCCCGGCCCGGCAGCGGTCATCAGCATACCGCAGTCTCCCAGCGGCGCGCGACTCATACAGCCCAGTCACGGCAGCCGCGCCCGGCCGCCTCGGCCTCACGCGCCGCCGTCAAGTCACCGCTTCGATGCGAAGGCGGCCATTGGGTCGTCGTGATGGGTCTGGCGCATGCGCCAGGCCTCCATCTCTTCGGCGGAGGGCGCCGTAACATCGGCAGCCATCGAGTTGTAGGGCCGTCGTCTCTCGTCCATTGCCAGCAGCCGGTCGGCGGCCGCATCCGCCTTCTCCTGACGCGCCATCGCCTGCGCGCGCAAAAACAGGGACGCGGCGTCAGCGCGCCGTCTACGCTCGGCAGCCGCGGGGCGGGCAGCAGCACAGACACCATGTGGACAGTACACAGACACCACGGACAGTACAGCCAACATGGCACAGAAATCAGAGAAGGACGGCCGCCGGATCCCGGGACATGGGACACAGCATATGTACGACCCTGTGTGCCTTACGAGCCCCGCACCGCGAACCGGCCCACACAGAGACGTTAAGATGCACGGGCACACATACAGTTCCAATAATAAAACATCCCATAAAGCGGCACGCTTTCGGATCGTGGACACAGCGGGCTCCTTGCACATGGAGCACGGCGGAACCGGTGGACAAGGGGCACAGCAACGGCAGCAAACACGGGAGTTGACACAGTCCGTGCACACAGGCCACGCCTGACCGTGTGAGAGCGACGAGACGAGGCCGGACAGCGTCCCTCAGCGCCAACCACCCAGCACGGGTACAGCCGGCCACGCGGCGCCCGCCCCTGGCACCAACCATGGCTCGGAGTGTGCCAGTGTGCGGCACAGCTGACTGTCAAACCTCGGAAGTAGGGAGCTACTAGGAGGCAATATAACCGCAGTTGTCGTCACTGGCCTATCGTGAACTGCCCATCACATGATATCTTAATACGCACGGACCAAATGACTGTGTCCACAAGTTATGTTTACAAATGACAAAGTAACTTACTTTATGTTTGCACGGTAAGAGCAGACGCTGGGCAGCCACTTAGTCGTGCGTGCTCACAAAACCCGCCCTGAGCTAAGTTGCAGCATTTAGTGCTACATGTGTTTATCTGTCAGCATTTCTTCCAAAGCTGCAATCACTGCCGTTCATATATCGGCGGTTTTTATCTGATGCATTGTGCGATAATGCACAATGCAATGGACCTGTGACCAATAAATGGATTTGTCGGATTTAATGACAGATGGAAGCCGATTTGTGTCATGCTGTATGCGTAACGCACACAACAAACCTTCTCCAAATCGAAAAGCAATTCCACACGTTTGTCTCCAAGAAAAGAGTGATCGCCCGACCACGCTGGAGCCGACTTGATCCCCCTCCGCCCCCTCCCCCCCCCCCCCACTTCTCAGGGAGGGAGATGTCATTCTTTGTGTTTTCTTCAACTGCAGAACGAATTGCGCCAGAGATCTCGAATGTTTATTCTGTACCCTCAGAACTACTCAAGGAACCAGGTGTCAACATGGGAGTTTAAATCATCGCTCGTTAAGTCGGAATGACGTCAGATAATTGACTAACAGAACGTCACTGTTGATTTCAATCATGTCTTATGGTCAAAGAATGCCGATGAAAGCTTGGGGTTTCAGGAGGCGTATGCCGCCAACGGTCGGGTGGCGCCCGTTTGTACGAAGCTATTCAAGGGCGTACTGGCATAGCGGCCCCGGGACGCGTGCCCCCCCCCCCCCCCCTCCCCCACAGACACTCATCAAGTTGATTACAGGTACGATTATGCCTACGAATAAATGTTGACACCACAACAATTGGGGTAGACCTGTAAGAGTAAACAGATAGAGAACATGCGCTGTTGTACGAATTTCGCACGCCGGCAACGCCCACAGCTGCGTCTCATTAACAACTGAGTTTGCCCCCCCCCCCCCCACACCCCCTATTGAGAAATCCTGCGTACGCTCCCGGTGTTGTTTAGGGCAGTAGCCACCGTATGAGTTAAAGTACATGGCGATGTGAGACTACTCCGTTTTTACTGAAGGTCGGGCTATTCTGGATGACGTTACAGCGACGTCACAGGCTTCACGCTGCTAGCACAACTGTTTCCCAAAATGCCTTCCGTGGTCGTGCCGGCTGCCGTGAGAAGCCATCTTCCTGGTGAGTACGTCCGTGTCACAAGTCCACGGCAGATCACTGTCAGCCTCGTGTCATCACAAGTCACGTCAAGATGACGCCACACAACATCCCAGCTGTGCTGGTATCAGATCCTGCTGAAGGCATGCGTGACGACTTGGGACAGCGACTTGCCCATGCATCCATTTGCGCGCCAGGCTTACCGGAGGCAAATTTAGCACCCAGTTAATTCCATGTCGCCCTTTGACCAGTGCTCATACCTCCGTTGGTTAGGACACATTTCCGAACCCACCACCCGTGACAGATTGAGTTTACGTCGCTCGTTTTTTTCTTCTTGGGTTATAGCCCTTTCGACGAGAAATGATCATCTCAGGGCTAAGCGATGAAGGGAAATGCTTAACGGTCGGGCAGACTTGCATGCGCCTGGGGAGCCAACCACCGAGCTTTAACCCGCCCATGCGCGCTGTGTACCCGGTCGGGGTGCCCCTTCCCACAGGGCTCTCGGCCCGCTCGTGGCTGGCGCTGCAGCCTGCCCGGACCAGCGGGGCGTCGCGAAGATGCAGGATGAAGCAAGATAGACGATAAGAGGGACGGATGACGTCGCTTGAGGCGCTCACTATTTTCCCTCGACATATATGGCCTGTGGCCGGTGGTAGCAGCCGCGCTTAAGGTCATGTGACGTCAGAGAGAAGAGTGGACCGTGCCCAGCATTGCGGCACGTAAAACTTCCGCAACCAGATTCTACCTGGAATTTCACGATCGGATAGAAGAGGTCAGGGCTCACGCAACAAACGCTGCTTGGCGTGAGCTCTGATCGCAGAAATCCGTTCATTCAAACAGTTCAGATTAAATATTTTAAAAATCCTGGATGGTGGGCATACCCTGTGGTCATTTGATCTAGGGGTATCTGTTGTTGTCAATGACAACGGCACACAAATATTGCTGTAAATGGCAGGTCAGCAACAGCAGGTGCCGTTGAAAGACATCATACGAGAACACATCGCGACCCTCGGGGCTTGCGTCCATTGTCCAGTGCCTGATCGAGGGGTTTGGGCCCATCAACAAGTTTTTTTAAAGCTGTAGATGCACACAGTTGCAGCGCCCTCTTGTGAACCATTTGGTACCTTCACTGTTACTAGCAGTAGCAGTGGTACCTTTTACCGGCTGATCTTTTAGGCGGTAACAATGCTGTCCCATTTGGCCTTGGCTAGGCTCCTCTGAGAGGCGAGAGGGTGACAGCGGCACTTTCATTATGACCGTGGCTCGGTCTACGGCATTGGTGCTCAAGACGGAGCCGATGGTAAACACATTTTTGTTGCTCGTGATCTGCTGGTGCTGACACGTGTTTTTTTTGTAATCAGAAGTCTGCTCTTAGACAGTAGACAATAGACATCCAAAACGCCCTATGAAATCAAGTGTTTCCACTTTCTCAAATCTGTTTCCAAAAGTGTCTCGGCCTATCTTGTACGCCCACCTTCTCGAAATACTTAATCAGAACCTCTCAGTTAGGTGGATGTCACGGATCAGCGCTCGCGCTGAGCATTGTTTGTTGCGCGAACACAAACACTACTGTGGCTCTAACATTCCGGGCCACCGCCGCCAGTGTCCCGCGCGAGCCTCACGTGTCACCCAGTCCGTCCTGGACTGTGACGGCTCCTGGCCTTCAGCGCAGCCGCTGCGAAGGCAAGGCGTAGGCAGGCGTTTTAACCAAGCTACAGGAACCGACACTCATGTGTCACGCACGCCGTAATTCTTAAAGTCTGCGCTATTGGAAATAGTTTGCCTACATTAGAGAACCACTTCCGAGTAGCAGTTAAGGAGCTCTATCTCCGTGTGAGGTCTCGATAAAAAAATACGTTAAAATGTTGTAACATGTAGTGGGTCTGCTGGGGTCCGATCCGGGCCGCCACTGATCAGGACGGACCGCTGTGGTCATCCCATGGCGGATCTGCTGGGGTCCGATCCGGGCCGCCACTGATCAGGACGGACCGCTGAATCTGAAGGCTCGCATGCGAAGCTCTGCCCACGGCGCACATTGCCCGGATCGCGAGCCCGTCCGCTCGGGCAGGTGGCCTCGGAGCGCCGACTGTCGACTCCGGGCCGCTGCCCGCCATCGTGGGACTGGTGACTGTGCCCCAGCATCAGCCTGTGAGATCACAGCGCACGAGCACTTACCTGTAGGACCACGCAAGCCAGGGGAGCCGTAGCAACCGCTCGTATCAGATAATTTGGGAATCAACAAACATCAATTTCAGAGCATTCCCAGGTCAGTTACCGTGCGTCACTGCACATTTGAGACGGGCTTGCAGCCAGCGAGGTCAGCGACACAGAGCGGCACAATGAGCGCGACCCTGTTCTCCAGGTGACACCCGTGCTCGTGGGTTTCAGTGTGCTCACTCGAGACACACAGAGTCGCTGAACCCCACGCAGGCGCTGAGGCTTGAGAGACATCTGTGCGTCCGGTCGTGAGCAGCTCTATCGCTCGCGCACGCGACAAACGGCGGCCCCGGCCCCGGCGCCGGCCCTGCTCCGGACGCCCGTCTTCCAAATGCTAATGGCCATCCGCGGCCATAAAAAGGCGCATCCTTCAGACCACTTCCAGCCAAGACGCAGCTGGGTTTCATTCATCACGGCACATTCTTTCCGCGAAAGTGAGTATGTCCCTGGGGCACGGATGCGGAGCCACCATGCGGAGATAAGCGGAACTGGAGCTTACTGCCGGCAACGCGACGACCGATCCCTCACACAAGGAACTGTTTCACGTTCACATTCATCTAGAGGCCGCACGGGCAAACCAGGTCAGCACACCTACGCGCAACGAATAATGGAAGCCCCTCACCAGACTGAGTTGCTTCGTTGCGACAGCCCTTCATCCAATAAAGGCAGCACCCGTGTCTTTGGAAGTGGGCTCAATAACGTTTAGAAAATATAAAAGTGAAATCAAAATACGTGACCGGGTTCGCAGAAGTCGCAGCCGACTTTCTTTTCAGGGAATCCGGTACCACGCGGGTTTGTGTATAATGCGGTACCACGCGGGTCTGTGTATCATCCAGCTGATCCGGCCTCGCCAGCACGGTATCGAAATGCGGCCGACGTCATAAGGACGATATACAGACATTAAGACGACGCTCCGTGCCGCCACACAAAGCCCCGCGCGCCT